GTGTGTGTGCTTGTAAACCTTCTTGCTTAAAGATAGTGGAACAAATCTTAATCAGGTGTTGATTAAGGACTGGATGTAGGTCACATGTGGAGTGGCTGAACCAGTATAAAAGACTTGTGCAATCTTCTTCTACCTTATCTTTTACATTGTGTAATTTCTTGGTTGAACTTTAAAGAAGATAAAACTTGATTAACAAGTGTATGTGAATCTTGATGGTTTAAATTTGTAATTGAACATTATTTTTGAACCTCATTATGTTGTAATCAAGTGAGCATATTGCATTCATATTTTCTTAACAAGTCTTTAGAAGAGCTTCATTTGGAAATTCTATCATAGAAAAGTTTTGATTGAAATTAAGATCCAAAATACTCTAATAAATTTTTAAAGGGTCATTGAATCCAATTCACCCCCCCTCTTGGATTGTGCCATTCTTTTCTAACAACTCTCACAGAGAGGATAAACTGATTTCTACACTCACTAAGATAAGCTATCTTAGTTTTACACGAATATTCAACTTTTTTACAAGAAGAGATGTAAGATTATTTTTACGCGTGGTTTGGCTTATTGCTTTGTTTTCTTCTCTTCTACTTCTTTTCTTCTCAGATCTTGATATTTATAGCCTTGTGATAAATTTGCCCGTTATTTGAATTTGAATGTGTCCGTTGAGACGGAGTTTTCCGTTGGTGCAGATAATCTCCACCACCACCGCCACCACCACCTCCGCCACCACCGCCCTCTCCCTCGCCTCCACGCCCCCTCCCACGCCCACCGTCACCGACCGCGTCTTCATGGACTTCAGCCTCTGCCCCAACAACTTCCTTCCGGACCGGGCCGACACCATCTCCCCTCTCTGCTCCGACTCCTCCTTACTGGGCCGCGTCATATTGGGCCTCTACGGGAACCTCGTTCCCATCACCGTCTCCAACTTTAAGTCCATGTGTTTGGGCCTCAACGCCACCTCCTCCTCCTACAAGAACACACTCGTCCACAGGGTCTTTCCCGGCCAGTACTTCCTCGCCGGCCGCCAGGGCCGCCCCGACAAGGGGGAGGTCCGGCCGCCGCACGACCTGCCGCGCAACACCGAAACCGTCGACGCCAAGGCCTTCGCGCTCACGCATTCTAGACCCGGCGTCGTTTCGCTCTCTCTCTCCGAAAACGACGACGACGACGAAATCAAGCTTGACCCTGCGTACCGGAACGTGGAATTCTTGGTCACCACTGGGCCCGGGCCTTGCCCCCAGCTCGATAATAAGAACATTGTCTTTGGAACCGTGCTCGAAGGTAATGGTGGTGCTAGTTTGTGTAATGGAGATTCTGAAATTTTGAATTAGGACAATTGCTTGTTTTAGATGAAGCCTTCGCTTTAATTCTCTGAATCACCCTAGTCTTTCAAAACATTTTCATGAGTGAGGTGGCTCGTTGGTTTGTCTTTCATTGAATGAAGCTCATTGCCATCAAGAAGTGTATATATCTTTATTTCAATGTTTGGAATATTATTGGAAGCACTTATGAAAATGCTTATGCAAAAATTAGTTCTGCACCATTGTAGGAGAAGGGGAAAATGTTAAGGACTTTTTGTTTTAAAAAATATTTCTTAAAAGAATTTCATGGTTGGTCCGAGTAGAAACAGACTCAATCCCCTTAATCAAGTTCTCATGTTCTGGTTTAACGAATAGATAAAAAGGTGGTTGAGGAGGGGGAAGAGATCTTTTTATTAGTGTCCAGCCAGGTTTTCTATTGAGATTAGTTATTGACAAAATCAATGAATATTTCGTATCAATATCATGGTATTAAAAATAATTTTAAAAAAAATTATCATCCAAAATCTACTTAGTTTTGAAAATTTGTTTCTAAAAGAGGAATTTTAAAAAGTAAAATTGAAATTCTGAAAGATATTTTGTCATCTTCATCTTCTGTTTTCTCAAAGTGTTATGATCAAGTTAAAACGGACAAAAGTTTTAGAAAACAGGAATGTGCTCAAACTCAAAGTACAAACACTTCTAAATGTGTTCATAGACATACAAATTTTAGAAAACAGTTAACAAACGTGGCCCAAGTATTCTGATTTAGCATGTATGATTATGTTTGCATTTTCTACACCAAACGTTTGATTGTCCACAGAGTATATGCTTAGTGACTAATCAGAAAGAGATTTCAGGGGTCATGTCTTGTACACCTGCAGGTTCCATTTACTAATTTTGGCTTACTTTCAACCATATTGTGTATCAAACTGTTGATCTGATGACACTAGGCCCTCGTTGTTCATATGTTGAAATGTTTGATCTGTTCAAATTGTACTATTCTTAATTTATCTGTATTATCAATGCAGTGCTTAGCTCCTGATTGATTCTAATTGCAGGTTTGGATGTCATCACAGCCATAGCTTCCATTCCCACATACCAACCATCTGAGCGAATTCGCCAGTTTAATGACTTGGCTCAATTTTTTGGAGATGAAAGGGCTCAGAATGCTAGGAACATATGGAACAGGCCTCTCACGACTGTTTATATTAGCGACTGTGGGGAACTGAAAGTTACAAAGCCTTCCCTCACGCCTTCTTTGCCATAATTTATTTCCATTTATGTATATATTGTCCCAGAGGATTTCATGTAACTGGTGTATGTAAAATCATACTCACATATTCTTTGAAAATAAATGATGATGAATACAACCTATAGTGAGCACCATGAATGACTTCAAAGTTGAAACATGAAAGATTTGTGTTTAGAGTACTTATTTCAGAGCTGCGGGGAACATAATGCATGCAGGTAGTGAATTTAAACATTGGTATGGTATGGTAAAGTGACTTCGAAGTTATTCTTATTGTTCAGAAACTATTTCTATCTGCTTCAAATAATTTCAAAGATTTAAGATTTTTCGAGGTGCGTTTTCTTCTTTTGAAGGTAATCGCGTGACATAATTTCCTATTTTAATATTACAATTTCATTGTACTTGAGTAATGGCACCTCACATGAATACATAATCTTTCAAGGGAAAGAAAAGGAGAGGGGCAGAAGTTGGGGATGCTTCTGTTGTGTATCCCCTTCCTTCTCTATCTCTTGCAGAAAATTCCTCATCCCTTAGTGAAGGTCAAAGATTTTGAAACCTTTCGGAGAGGGAGCAAGAACTCCATAACTGTCTCTTGGTGAAGGCTATATCATACGCTTCTGGGAGAAAGCACAAAAGAAACCATGCTTTAACTTGTGTAGCTCACAGCTGCAATTTTTGTGGTATGTTCTCCCATCTATCTCCATGTTGTGCATGGTTATGTTTCCATCAAAGGCACACCAAAGCATCATTTGAGCTTGCCCAATGATCATTCTCTTCTTGCTATTTTGTACTCTCTTACAAAGGTTAGCTAATGAATGAAGATGCGTGCAAATGTGAGGAACAGTGAGTTGGTAATATTTGAATGCTATGCAATGATTTGTCTAGTTTGATTTGAAGTTCTATTATGGGGGAGGGGGATTTTGGCTCTATATAGGATGAGCAAGCAACTAAAGAGCCCAAGGAATTTTGGCTCTAGATCTAGAAAAATAAATATTAGGCATGCGGTGTTGAGGGGTCAAACAATTGGTTGGTAGCCATTGTGGTTAACACGAGTGTAAATTGTACACATAGGTTCGATTAATCATTTGGCTTTTCTATGTTAATTTCATTAGTTTTGACGATGATGGGTTCCTAACTTAGTATCCTTCATAAGTAAGTACATGTTTGTTTTCTTTTATTTGTGAATTCCAAAGCATGTTGAACGTGATTTCTCTACTGTAGCTTTGACGTTCAATGGGATTTCATAATAATACAAACACACTCTAAGTCTTCTAGATTATGCAAGTCTTTCAAGGACTGCTATTCTTGTAGAAAACCTTTTTTTTAATTTTTTTTATAACAAATAAATTAATTAATTAAACTTATAATATGAATAATAATTAAACAATTATATTATTATTAATGTTTTTTTTTAAAAGCACGATGTTATAATAAACACTCTTAATAAAGAGAATTTTTTAATATGTTTTTGTATAAAAGATAATTATTGTAATATTCTCTTTATTTATATGTATGATGAGAGATTCATTTATTCTAAGAGTAAGTTATCTTGACTTACTCTACTCAATAACTCATATTTTATATCAAATTTCAACAATTCATCGTTAAATTATAAGTTCTTAAAATATATATA